ACAGTTCTTTAATCTCCTGCATTCGAACAATCTTGCCATTTTTGAAAGACCAAGCTATCATGCTTAAATTACCCAGCTCTATAATAAAGCTATTTTTTAAATTGGATATAAACTCACCTTCGCTGACACCTACAATTCATGTGCTCCGTCAATGCGACAACTTCGGTTGTGGTTGTCCCTTTTGCGGTCTAAATTGACAACAATGACGCTAGTTTTTACACATTCTTCCATCGGAGTAGATGTTGGTTACGTAATGTAATAAGATGAATGCAATAGTTTCAATCAAGAGAGTGGGGTGGCAACAAGCTTTACCCCACCTCTTTGGGTGCATATAAAGCGTACTTCTCAAAAAAAGCGCTCATAAAGACAAAGAACCCAAAACACCCTCATGAATTCAAATAATATGAGTAGGCATGATTTTTTATTTTGACAGTTGATTTAGCGGGAGTAGGTCGGCATAGTTGTGACCTTCGATCGTGGCTCCCGACTCGACTCTGCAATTACTCACAGCGCTTTTCCCATTCAAATGCTGGTCGAAGGGTCACCTATGGAGTTTAACAAAGGTTGAACAACGTACAGTACAAAAATAGATGTTTGGAAAAGAAAGTGAATGAGTGAACAAATGTCTAAAGCTGTCAATTTTTTTATAACCGAGTAGGCATTATGCCAACAATTTAAGCGTATCTTCCCGATGGTTAACTGTCATTTGTCAGGCACAGAATGAGACAGATTATCCTTTAAAGGTGCAAGGGAGGCAAAACGACTACTGACAAACAGAGCGTCAATGATCGTATTGCGCTTTGCGTAATCACCTCTGAAGTTTCCCACAGCAAGGTATCAAAAATGTGAATGGAGTGTAAGGCTACTTGCTGCAGAGTGGCACAATTTTGTCAGGTTGTGGACACCAGTAATAGTTAAAAAATAGGTTATGCTGAATTTGTCCCATCCGAGGACAGTCAGAGGGCAAAAACATCAGTCTAAGAGGTTCAAGGACCTGGACTACAAACAAGCACTTGAAAATGAGATTTGTGTGAACTTCTGTTTGCATTCCCAATATTACCAGTATCCGGTAAATTAAACTAAAGCTTTGAATATGGTTTAAACAAAAAGTTCTGGTAAGGTATGTTTATGGAATATTATACCTTAGTTGCACCTTTAGAAGCCTGTTCGCTAGTAGTTATAATCTCGGCAGTCTACACGAAGTAACAAATGCAACAGTCATCTAGATAACTTACGTTGTATACGACCACCGGAGCAACCTTTAGACCAACCTCAGTTGGGAGACACTCCTCTTCGGGCAGAAGACAGGCGCAGGATCCACTGCCATCGAAGTGGCGTAGGTCAGTAACACCTGGCCTAGAGGCTGCATCCATGCGATCGGCTGCTGCACAGAGTGACTTAAGCGCCAACCTGGAGCGCAGCCGCGCCGCCTGATTAAACATGGCCTGATAGGAGTTGACCACACTTCCGCCTCCGCACGTCGAACCCCACACTGAATTATCGCATCGTCTCACGTAGATGCCAGGTGGCAAAAACAAGGTCGAGTGGTCTACACGACCTCTCAGAAACAGAGATTTTGTGCAAATAATCCTGTTTTTTGGCGTACAGGCATTACTTAAGAAGTCATTATAGCTGTTGTATGCTTCTCTAAGTTCCTCATCTGAATCTAAAGAAAACAAAAAGCATAGGAAAGGGTACCAAAGGCAGCTTGAATTATATCAAGGTAACATCTATTCTCCCTTGTTCATACAATTTTGTTAAACTTATTTAAGGGGATGATAGTTTGTTTTATTAATGGCTTGCCAAATCACTCATAAGCGGAGTTTATATCTCTGGTGTACTTCGATCTTACTGTTCAAAACCCTTGGGTGGTCGTTAATGATTTCCATTGTCAAGACACAAAAGCCCCTAAGAGACAATGGCTACTGCTCCACAAAGCGATTTTGCTTTACAAAACTTACGATTTTCTGTTTCGTCTTCTCCGTAGTCATCCTCGGTAACGTTTCCACTGGACAACGAATATTCCTTCATTCGCGATGACAGCTCAACGCTCTTCATATCCTCCTTTTTACCGAGCTCAAGCTCGTCAAGACTTCGTTTACTTATGCTTCTTTTCTCTTCTTCAGTTACCCTCTGAGAAACTAAAGACGCCTTAGTCTTTTGAGTTATGGGCAAATGAAAAACAACACCACCATTAGCTTCAGACAGATCAACAGCGTTCTCTGGTGAAAATGTATTCCGCTTTCCTATTGAAGACTTCGTGTTGGCGCGCAGAAGAATTCGTTTGAATTCTGCAAATGAGGCGGCTTTTTTTAATGCTTGTGCTTCTCTTCGAAGAACAACTTTGGCAAAAAGATCCACCTTTTTGCTATCCTGGCGTTCACTTTGTTTCCGCCGTCTCACGTCCTCCCTCTCGGCGGCTTGAAGACGTTGCATTCGACGATTTTGCCGCAGTGTTTGACGAAATGAATGCCACTGATTTATGATGAAGTGAATCTGTAAAGGAGTATGCACATTTTAA